TGCAGGTGCCCTTTTCAATATTAAGTTTTCATTTACTGGCTTCAGCTTGCAAATGTTTTTACTAGTGTCTCAGTCTATGCTATTCTCACTTGAAAGGCATGAAGTAGGTCTGACTGTTTTACTCTGAATCTTTAAACTTCCAGGTTTCTGGAAAGTAGGTGTCATCAAATGTTCGCAACCTCCACTAAACAAAGTTAACCATATATAATTAATTCCCTGGAAATTGATTTTTGTAGTGCCATCTTATTTGCCAGACATACTTTTTTCTTTTTTTTTTTTTTTTGGTATATTTTAGTGCAGAATTCCAGTGCAGGACTCCAAAATAGCCACATCCTTAGAGCACAGACTCAGCACCTAACTCCCTAACAGGTAAAACTCCATTTAAAGTCATCTTTTTAGGCAAAAATTTGAGTCAGGACACTGGACACTGCTTTTGTGCCAGAACTTGTATTTATTACTCTGTGTATCCTGCTATGTAGCCTAAACAGGAAAAAAAAGACAACAGGATGAAGTAGCTGCAGAGTGTGATCAAATTCAGTACAAGGCAGCAAAAACCACACCTTGAAACAACACACTTTGTTTGAGTACTTGGCATTAAAGGTAAAGAAAAGAGGAACTTGCTACAGCAAATCATAACCCATAGACTGCTACATTGCAGGCAGAAACTATATGCTGGAATGCACGCAGGAAAGAGAAGGCATGTGAATGCACAAATATTCACCCTATTGGTTCTGCTTGCAGATTTTGCTCACAGCTTTTCTGTGAGCCCCAGCAACCTGAGTTAGCATCTTTTACCATCTGTATGCTTATACAGTGGAAATGTTGACAAGCTGCAAAAGCTGCAAAAAATTGTGAGCAAAGGTCCCAGGGAGGGACACTATTGCCAGCCAGACCAAACACACTGTCACAGACAAAAGTTGTGAAACACACAGATGCAGGGAATAATGAGAAGTTTATTGAAGAGCTGTTGTGTTTGCTAGTTGGGGAGGTTTTTTGGCTCCTCCTCACCACCCCACCAGTTAACAGAGTTAATTTGGATAAATTTCAACTGGAAATGCGTGATAGGTAGAAAACTGTAAAAGGTGAAAATAAAGCCTGAAGTATTTTATTAAATATGCAGCCAATGGGTAAATCCTTCCCCATATGTACGGGCACAGATTAAATTTAAAGGGGGAAGACATGAGAGTTAAGGAACCTACAAATTTTTCCTCTCTTTAAATACATGCAGTGTGCTGCTTATTCTCACAGCCACTTGACAGACCTGGGTCTACCAAGTCCTTATTGCTTCCATAATATGCTCAGAGTTCAAGGGCATGTCCATAAATCTGGCAGTAAATAAGCAGATGATTCATACTCTTCCTACAGCAAGACAGCAGGATCAAAGTCTTTCTCCTTCATCACTTGCTTAGTCCTTGAGTTACTCTGCCAGTTCTTGGCCATGAGTGTTTTTCATTATTTCATCACACACCAAAGATTGCAGTGCCTTACAGAGCAGAGTAAACTAGATTTAAGTGGAAACTTGGGCTGTGCTTATACTATACTCCTTTTTTTAAATTATTTTTACACCAAGATAGTTTTGTAAATAGTCTATTGTGCTGTAAAATTAAAGCCAAGTTCTCTGCCATGTACCTACCACCAACTGTCTGCTGAGATTGCTGAATTATATTAGAGAGTAAGAGTTTAAAAGGCTATCGCTAAGTCGCTGAGTCACCAACCAATCTTGCTAGACAGTACATTGTAAGCTTTTGGTCTAGCACAATAGAAAAAGCCTTGACATAGTTTCAAGCAATGCTATCAGCACCAGTGGGTAGACAGACAACAGGAAGGATGTATCATGGAGAAATTCAGACAAAAATCAGAAATTAATTACTGCAACCAGACCAGTTACATTTTAGGGTTTCAGTTGCACCGAAAGGCTGACAACTTCTCCCCTACTACGCTGAGGCATTCCTACAGTATGGATTCAGAGAAGGATGACAACCATTATGTACCCCTTTCTGCTGTACAAAATGGTCAGCCTTCAGATACAGGTATGCGTTCTCAATTCAGTTTTCTTAGTTTGAAACATTTCTTCCTTCAACGATAATATTCCAATTCTGAAGTATTTTACATGAACAGATTCCTATGACAAACTGGGAGTCCTACTGTTATGACTCTGTTCTGGATTTCACTGGAATCTTGCATTTGTATAGGAGTTTGCTTGTACAGGACTGTTGGTTTGGTGGTTTGGGTTTTTTTTTTTAACTTGTACATAATAAATACCAGAAGGATAGATAATATTTTTTCATGTACATGCAATTTCCTCTTTCTCTAGCTAAGAAATTTTTTTTTAACTCTTACCGAGTATCTATTTGCCCTCGAATATGTGATAATCTTGAAGAATAAACAAGTATATTTTTTTTGTAGAGTAGGGTTATTTTGTTTTGGCTGATGTATGCTTCTTTGAGTAGAAAGGCCAAGAAGAAAGATCAAGCCATTTCATAAATCAACTCTTCCAATTATTATCTTGATTTCCTTACTCACATGTCTGCATTTACAGGTTTTAAGTATGTGAATTCTTAGTAAAAATATCAGAGACCTGAAAAGTAAACATTCCATGATGGCTTCCTCTGCACAAGTTTCAGCAAGTTATCTAGAACATAATTTATAGAAATGGTGACTAGCTTCTATCACCAGCTGAAATTAATTGTTCAGCACCGCTGCAAATTAAACCCCTAATCTTAATCCTAACGAAATTTATTACCAATGCTAGCTTAAATGCATATGCATGAAAGACAAGGTCCTTCTATTTACCCACATCATTCACAGAAAGAACATACCATTACTACTGTAGGGTTGAAACTCTAACACCTTTTAAAATTTTTATAGTGTCCTGTAAAAGAAAGGGGCACAGGTACATGTATATGTTACACTCAGTCTAAAATGGTTGTCTCCACACCTCTTGAGCACTTGCCACAGAAGACCTGGTAAAATATGATGTGAGTTTTACCAGACATAGAGCTTCTGCTGAAGGACTGCAAATTCCAGCTATCTGTTAAAAGTCTGTTTGTCACAGGAACATTCCAAAGGGAACATCAAAGACCTATTGCCACAATTTCAAGTCTTTGTTGTAACTGTAATCATCCTGGCCCAAGGACACAAACACGGCAAAGTTTACAAACAGGAGTAATTTATTAGACAGAACTTTTAGACACTTGAGCTCTCAACCAGATGCAATTAAACAAAAAGAAGTTTTTGCCTACAAGATTCATCTTGCAACAGGTCTTAATTGTTCTGGTGAAGTGTCAAGTATACAACATGTTGGCTCCTAATAATAATAATAATAATTAAAAAAAAGACTCTTAAAAGTAAACCTTAAATTTACAGATATTTTTGTAACTCAGTCTTGAGGGAAATCACTGAAACTTCTAATAAAACTAACTTTGTTCAAATAGGACACCAAAATCACAATCCACATTTTGCAGAAAAGCTAGTTAAAAGCTATGAGCTGCTCAGCTGAGAGATGTAATGAAAAATATCTTTATTTTCCCACCCTTTTTGTTTTCACAGACAAAGTACTTAGTTGTAAAAACACGGAGATGGCAAAACTAAGTGCTCAAAAATTGTGGTGTTTAAAGGCCCTATATGACCTTGCTGGGATATTGCTTTGTTTGTTCTGCCACCCGTGATTGGGTTATACATTTGCATGCCAATTTTTCCTACAGAGGCTCTGTTCTGCTCTATGCAGAAACAACAGGTTTGGGTTTTTTAAACCTGCTGTCAGTGTCCCCCATGCTCTGTTCTCTCTGTTTCTTCCTATATTTCCAGCTTGCTTTTTCCTCTTGATCTAGGGTAAGTTTATACTTCCTCACACCTTCTTGCCATTCTACATGTAAACATCTATACAGTCTTGGCTGCACACTTGCACATTTCCCAGTTTTAATTTTTTTTATTACTTTTATTATTTTTTTTCCTTCAACACTTTCCCTCTCCAAGTTTGTATTCTCCATTCAGTCCCTCAAGTTTCTGTTTTATTTGCTTTTATTTTCGGGGGGGGGGAGGGGGGGCAAAAAACCCCCACCCCTCCAACTTTGTACCTATCTGCCTTTAGATAGGCAGATTTTTTTTTTTTTTCATTTGTAAAGCTGAGGGGGATACCTGTAGACATTTCAGCAGTATGAAAGAGTCCAAGGCGTGGTTAGATATGACCAAAATATCAATCAAAAAGTATTAAATGTAGCTGTAGAAAGCATGAAAAGGGGAAAGCAATCTGGAACAAAGTTTTGTAAACCTTTTACTAGGCCTAAGTATGCCTTATTAGTTGTATGTTAAATAAGTCTTTTAGCTTCAGTAGGCCGGCAAGGTCTCAAAGGACACTTAATTACAGGAAAAGGTTATCATAAAAATACTATTAACAGCAATGAACTCTTCGCCTTTGATAACTGAACTCAGTGCTGGGCAGCAAAGTTGGACTAAAGGTGAATTCAAGTTCACCCCACTTTCTCCATGCAGAGTGGATATATTTCTATTACTGCATATCCATGTGAAGGATTAGGTGCTGCAAGGCGGTTTTCGGCCAGCACCGATCTCCCGTCTGCACAGCACTTCCCACCTGCAATGAGGTTGCAGCTTTTTGCCATATAATATCTAAAGATGGGTTATTTCGGCCTAAAAGGCAGGCCGCCACCCTTAGCGGGTTCCAGGGGTCCGGGCTGACCCTCCTGCGGCGGGCAGCAGCGCCGGGGCGCTCCCAGCCCCGTGGGGCCGCCCCTCGCCTTCCGCGGGGAGCAGTCACAGCTCGCTTTGGGGGCTGTAAGCGAAAAACAGGAGACGCGCTTAAGGCGTAAAATTCCAAAAGCTGGTCAAGTCCACAAAAGCGGAAAAAACCCCCACCCCTAAAAGCCGAGCCGTCGGAGCCAGGCCGGCTGGAGACGCGGCACACCTGCCTTCCCCTCGGGCCAGGGAGGGTGCTCAGGGGTTAAGCCCAGTCGGGGGCGGAGGCAGCTCTGCCGGGCTCCGCCGCGCCGCGGCTCTCAATGGGGCCGGCGGGGCTGCGCGGGCCGTGCCCCGGGAGCGGGGCGATGTCGCAGGGTCCGCCGGGCGCGGGGCACCCCAATGACCTGCCCGACCACGCTCCGCGGGTGCGCAGCGCCCTGGCCGAGCTGCGGCGGCGGGCGGAGGCAGAGCCCGGGCAGCGCTGGCCGCAGCCGCTCTCCGATGCCTTCCTGGTGCGGTTCCTGCGCGCCAGAGACTTCCACATGGACCTGGCCTGGAGGGTAAAGAGCAGCGGCGGCCGCCCGCGGGGTGGAGGGGGAGGAGGGGGCGGTGGCGTCTCCGGGTGCCTGGGGAGCCCCCGCGGTGGATGTCACCGGCCTGCCCCTGCCCGGGTACGCGGGGAGCAGCCGGACGGGGGCTGTCGCTGGGTGTTGGGTGGGCGAGTGAGCTCTGCCCTTCTGGAGTCGGCCGAGGCCAGCCGAGGAGTTTCAGGGTGTAACTTAATTGCTTGTCACGCGTATCTTCGTCTTGGCACCGAATGAATGTGCTGTCTCACATTCAGCGTGGCTGGTTCTGTGCAGTCTCGATGAGGTAACATAAAAGTTGTGGAAAGGGTGGTACAGTCACTCCCGCATGCAGTAAGTACGGTAAGGTTACAGCTCCGGTTGGGAAACAGTATCCTTGAAAGGACATCCTTGTCATGATTGTCGGGCTCAAGTTACTCCTTACTAGCAGAGATACAACTACTCTAAAAAAAAAAAAAAGAAAAGCAAACTATGTGTAAAAACTTGTTTACTCTTGCAGTTTAGTCATTTACACCACTCCTCGCAGGCTTTGGTAAATCATAGTCCTTTCCTGACTCTGTATGGCTTTTTGCCACAGTGCATGCATTTTTTTAATATCCAAAGGTACAGATTTTTTTTTTTTTTTTTTAAGAAAGACTGGCAACCACTAAATTTTGGAACAGAAAGTATTTCCAAATCTTCCCGGGGCAAAAACTGATTCACAGTGTGCCAATTGGAAGCTGTGTTTCTGTGGAATTCGATATTGTTTACATAGCGTTGCCCAAGAGACTTCACCTATTAGTTTCTGACTTCTCTGTACTGTAGATTTTCCAAGTTCACTCACCATAAGAGAAGATTGCTTGCATACAGATTTACTGCAGCATTGAGGTATCTAAAAAAGCAATGTGAGGAATTGATTAGGCCCTTAATCATAAATAGCTTTAAAAATTAGATTTTTGTTCACTTCATTTGACTCATGAGATTTGTGTAACAGCTTTCCTCCAGCAGAAGAACTAGGTAGTCAATTCAGATTCCTTTGGGTACTCACGGATCTTACTTTTGCTTGAAGCTCATGAGATTCTTTTATATCAAAGCTGTACACTGATAACTGTAGGACCATGCTTTTTTTTTTTTTTTTTCTTTCCCAACAAGAGCCATTTTATTTTCCTGTATTCCCTGGTTCCAAAAAGCTGGGCTTAATGAGGACAATATGGACTACTGAATATCCACTCCTAATTGCATTGCAATTGATTGTTACTGGTAATCCTGTAGACAGGATGGCGACATTTCAGAATGTGGCCCGTGCACTTCTGCACTTTGATGTGACTAATTGTTAGGTGCGTTGTAGGTAGGTCTAATATTTGAGAGAATCTAAGCTAGGCTTAGAGATAGAGTCTATGAAGTAGCAAGTTTCCTATACTCCTCTTGGGAATCAGTCCTCTAGACTGGGGACCTGCTTTGAAAAAATTAAGTTTTTTTAGAATCTCTTTTTTTTTTTTCTGGGTCCCCACAGACTGCTAAATTTCTGAATTTCCACCCTTTCTTTGAAAGAGATTCTGATGTCCAAACCAACCTGTGTTTAATGTTTCTGCCTAGAATTTCAGTTCTCCAAATGCTGTAGCAGCTATTTGTACTTAATGTTCCACTTACTAGCTGAAACTTTTTTTCTAGAATACTTCTCTTGCAGCATAGGAAGAATAAAAGAAGCATACCTCCCCCCTCCCCTTTGGCCAAAGGAATGTGTTTATTGCAATTGGTAGATCGAGGCCCAAGAGAATTATTGTGCAAAAATCTGTGGTGGTCACAAGATGTATATTCATCTAATCCAAGTCAGACTTCATGCAGAGGTTACATTAGTACTTCAGCCTAGACAGAGCCCTCCTGCCATCAGTCCGGACAGTGGCTGTTCCCTCCCACCCTGGTTTGATGTTGCCTCTTGGTCTGGAATTCAGGCTTATACAGTCCCTTTTTACCCACTGGGCTCCTGGGTACCTACTGCATAGGACTTGTAGAGCAGCTAAGGGATAATCAAAGTTCATGGCCCTGTCAATGCTTTTAAGCAACAGTTGTCCAGCATCTTAGTACGGGCTTATAATCAGCCTTAAATATAAATCAAGAGTCTGGCAACTGACCAGACTGTTTATTGAAGGTTAATAATTGACATAGATTTATCTGATGTCTGTTATCAACATTTGGAAAGTCTTCAGAAAAGAATAATCAGGTAATTGTGGCAAGACATTTCATTTCTAAATCTTTTATGGTGATTCATTGCAACAGGAATCTTTTACATTTTTCCAGTGGCAGTTCCAGACTTGCTTTTAACTACTGATATATTGATACCTATCATGCTAGAAGAAATAAATTCATACCTGAATATAAATTCATTCCTGAGCTGAGCACTGAGTTAATTTGTGCAGATACATGTAACTCCTGTATGTACTGTAAACTAAGAAGCAGGGCCACAGGTCTCTATTAATTGTGCTGAAGAAATGAGTTTATATACCCCTTTTTAATATACCAGCTGTATGTCTGTATGTTTGATTTTATTGATACCATCAAACCCACTGTTGCTTGGGCCCAGAGAGTGCTGGTGAATGGGGCTGCATCCAGTTGGTGGCCGGTCACTGGTGGTGTCCCCAGGGATCAGTGCTGGGTCCAGTTCTGTTTAACATCTTTATCGATGAATTAGATGAGGGGATTGAGTCCATCATTAGCAAATTTGCAGACGACACCAAGTTGGGAGGGAGTGTTGATCTGCTGGAAGGCAGGAGGGCTCTGCAGAGGGATCTGGATAGGCTGCAGAGTTGGGCTGATTCCAATGGGATGAAGTTCAACAAGGCCAAGTGACGGGTCCTGCACTTTGGCCACAACAACCACAGGCAGAAAGGGACCTGGGGGTGCTGATTGACAGGAGGCTGAACATGAGCCAGCAGTGTGTCCAGGTGGCCAAGAAGGCCAATGGCATCCTGGCCTGCATCAAGAACAGTGTGGCCAGCAGGAACAGGGAAGTGATCCTTCCCCTGTACTTTGCGTTGGTGAGGCCACACCTTGAGTATTGTGTTCAGCTCTGGGCCCCTCAGTTCAGGAAGGATATTGAGGGGCTGGAGCGGGTCCAGAGAAGAGCAACCAGGCTGGTGAAGGGACTTGAGCACAAGTCCTATGAGGAAAGGCTGAGGGAGCTGGGGTTGTTTAGCCTGGAGAAGAGGAGGCTCAGGGGTGACCTCATCACTCTCTACAACTACCTGAGAGGAGGTTGTAGCCAGGTGGGGGTTGGTCTCTTTTCCCAGGTAATCAGCAGCAGGACAAGAGGGCATGGGCTTAAGCTCTGCCAGGGGAGGTTTAGGTTGGATATTAGAAAGAAGGGATTGATCAGGCGTTGGAATGGCCTGCCCAGAGAGGTGGTGGATTCACTGTCCCTAGAGGTTTTTAAGATGAGGCTGGATATGGCACTGAGTGCCATGATCTAGTAATCACAGTGGGGTTGGATCAAGGGTTGGACTTGATGATCTCGGAGGTCTCTTCCAACCCAGTTAATTCTATGATTCTATGATTCTGTTAGTGATATGCAAAATCTGGAGAATTAGCATCTCCTTTCCCCTACAAATGTTTTTTGCCTAGTGCACTTCATTATGTCCTTGCATTACATCCCCCAACTCTTCTATAGGAGTGATTCTCAGTGACTTGAGGATACTGTCATTTTCTACTTGAAATGGATCATACTCTCAGGAACAGAATGAAAATCTTTAAGTGCAGTAAAAATACAACATTGAAACTCTATGCCCAGAGTTTTTAAAACATACTTTGCTTTTATGGCACTGAAAACTCTAAATATCTAGGATCCTTTATGAGTTCTGGTTGATACAAAGGTATACAGCAAGACTTAGGGTTTGCTCTGCATTTGACTTACAGAGGAATCAGGACTTCCTAGTGTGTACTGCAAATAAGTAACTGGGAATAACTGTGCTGTCCAAGAAGGATTGTTTTTCATAGTTCCAAACATACTAATGAGTCTTAGGCATTGTCTCTGAGGATCTTCACATCATTCAAACATAAATACTAAGTTTAAATCAGTTACTTGGCTGCCTTTCTTCCTCCAGTACCAATGGATTCCTCAAAAAGGATGGAAGAGCCCTTATTAAGCTCTCTGGGCTAACTGTTGAGGAAGCACAAATCAGTGCTTCCCTTTGCACTAAGCCAAATAACTTACACATGTGCCAATCTTTTCCCAGTGGCAAAGAGGCAATGCGTGTGGAACTGAGAAAGTTCTGTGTCTCTGTAAAATTATTTTCAATTTTTTCTCTGCATATACCACGTTTAAATTCTGAGTGTATTTATATACATACATATAAAAAGAAATATAAAATATATATGCACAGAGATGTGGATACATATATTTATATATATATGTTTACATTCTGAAGTTTAAGCTGTGGTTTTTCCTGCAAAGAATGCCAATAGAATTTTTTTTCCCAAAGCATTGTGTGTGTTGGTACAACTGCTGACACATTAGAGGCTTAATTCTGTCTAGCATCCTTGTAATAAATATATGGTTATTAATCAAGAAAAAAATTAATTTACATATACAGATGCATTGGTTTCTCCAGCAAGCACATTGTTTTCTACTTCTTACTTCTAAACAAAGTACTAAGTTCATCTTTTTTTTTTTTTTTTTAGTAGCACATGAATTTTGGTTTAATTAGTAACTTTATAGTCTCTGATGTTCAGAAATCTGGAACTATCCCCAACAGACATCAGAAAAAAACCCTCTTAATTAATGCCTAACTCCAGTCCAGGGTTTTTCATCCAGCTTTACCCATTTATCAAGTTATCTTGCATTTATTTTCAGATGCTGAGCATATGCTAAGTAGGTTATTCAGTTTGTAAACACATATAATTATACATTGTGATGTTTTCCTGGTGTTGCAAGTACCTAAGCCATTTTTTATGCTAGGTAATGAATGTGCTTGTTTCTCCTGACACTAGGTTGTTCTATTTTTATCCATTTTTATCTATTTGTGTTTAAATCGTATGAGACTAGAAAACCTGTAAGTACCCACTGCTAGTTTTTTAATTCTGTGACATGTTTAAGGATTACTCATTTAAGTAGCTGTGTGTGATCTAAGTACGTCCAGCTTCCAAAAAAAGGATTGTTTACCTAAATAAAAATTTACAGAGCTTCTCCAAAACTGGTTGTAGATGCTGTGGAAGATTATCTAATGCTAACCTTTACTTCAGCTCTAAATCATTTCAGGTAATTAGATTAGGTTTTCAGAAGCTGAGAACTCTTCAGCACTTCTTGATTTTCTGGCCAAATGAAGGGTGTTTGAATCTTAGCCATGTTATATGTTGAAAGATGCACCACTTGCTCCTGTCACGGAATGTCAGATCAGAAATATTCCAACTATATATTTACTCCTTAGTGGATACACCAGTAAGTAAATTATGTCTTCTGTATGATCTTGAGTGTGTCACCAGCTGCAAACACTACTCTCTTTCTTCAAAGGTCCAGAACTTAAATCCTTTTTGTTTCTAACTTGGAAAATGTAAATATTCCTGAAAATGAGAAACTAAATGTACTGACAAGACGGGATTATTTAGGGTATTAAATGAATGTATAATTTTTATTCTCAGCTTAGTTTTGGCAGGCAGTTATTCAAAGGAGTATTTAAAATATGTAATTAGGTTCATTAAGTTGTCGTACCAGAGATTTTAGAAGAAAGGTGAGAAATGACAAAGCTACAGATGTTTACCTAGTTGTTTTGTATTGTTGTTTTTGTATTTTGCTGCTTTTTAAGTGTCTGTTTTGGAAAAACATGGACAAGAGCATATGTTGACAGCGCTGTCTGGTCGGCACAAAGCAGCTGGAATTGCTCAGTGTCCTTTGTAGACAGTCATGCACTAGAAGAGTGAGATAATAAGAGTACCTCATCAAGCCTATTTTTGCAATTATAGTGAATTTCCCTTCCACAAATTAACTTACTTTCCCTACTCCCCAACCCACCTTGCCTTTTTCCTTTGCGTGTTAGTTTTTAATTTGGCCTAGGCTAGAACTGATTTATTGCAGTCAAAAGGCTTCTAGTAAAATTCTCATAATGGTTAAATATTTTCTTTCTGTGATGTATAATTTAGGATGAGGCTTTTATCCACTTTTTCACTACCAAATCAAGTGAGATATTAGCATGGCAGATGAACTTTTTCATTTTATTTTGTACCTAAATACATATTTATTTGTGCTATTTCCATAAAGGATATAGCTAATTTCTGACCAGTATGTCATGTATTTGTAAGTGCTATAAACAATAACATTTTGGAAATAGTTTCCTCTTGATAATTCGAGAGACCTTCAAAATCATTCAAGACCTCAATCTGAGCAGAAGAAAAGGTATATTTTATATAAAATGATACAAGAGGCTTGGAAGTAGAGGAAAGGGTAACAAATAAGACTTACTGACATAGCTGACATGCTATGAGGTAGAGGATGGTGAGTCTCAGGTCTCCTTCTAAGAGCCTGTAGGTAACCGTCAGCATAGCTGATGCTGTGATTTTCCAAGGAATGAAGTCAATTCTACTGAAATTCCTTCTGACCATTCTTCCAATGAAATGCTGAAGAAATTTATACTTTTGCATAGATGCCTGTGTAGTTTATTTAAGCTTATGTTCTACTATATTCTATGATTAGTTGTAGCTGACAGCTCTTTTAACTGTAATATTTATATTGCAAAATATTGAGTAATTGATAACAGGATAAAAAGTAATTTCTATTAATGTTAATTAAAAGAAATACAAGACTGTTGGTTGCTCTCAGTGGCTACCTTTAAGATTTAAACCTACATTTCAGTTTGTTTTGAAATGGGGTGCTGAAAAATTCTGATTCTCTTAGCTCCTTTGAAACTCTTGGGTTAAAACTCTAAGCTGTACCTGTTGAGGAAATTAATATAAAACCTAAATTATTTGCCATAGCCATCCTTCTGCTCTCCAAATTCACTGCTAGAGAATTTAGCATGAGTGATAGAACAGAGGCAAAATTTAGTTCATGAACTGAGAGGAAACTTTTCAGAAGACAGTCTTGCATATTTTCCTACCTACCTAAGCAAAATATCCTAAATAAATTTTGGTTGCAGGGCAGAGCAGTTCATTTTCCCCACCACCACTTAATTAATATTAAAGGAAAAACAGTAATTAGATTTGGAAATTAGAACTACTGCATCACCAACTTAGTTTTTCATGATCCTTCTCTAAGATGACCTTTCACAGAGCTGCCTGTAATTCCTCTACATAGATGTCACCTCACAAAGGAAAGCCTTTAATTGCCTCTTTCTTGGGGTTAGGCCATTGCCTTTCAACATACAGCTCTTCCTGTGCCTTAGAAATACTAGTTATGATGCTGCCTTCCAGACTTAGGAACTAGGGTGATAATGTCCCTGATAACAGACAGGATCTCCATTTTAGCCAAACAGGTTCTCATTGTTTCCACTGTGGGAGGAAAATTGTGTAATGTGTAATGGACTCATTACTTTGTTGTATTCTGCCATTTCAGAGGGGTAGGAGGGACTTTAAAAATGTTTTTGGATACACTAATGATTATACCTGTTTCAAATAGTAAACTAGAATTATTGATGACTGTGTGTACAAAATAAGGGAGGGCAGGAGGGAAGGGAGAGGGTACGTGAGTGAAGGAGAAAGTTCCTCTGTAAGAGTTTTGCACATTTAAATTCAAAAAATCCTGAATGAATCTGATGCAGTGTCAAACTGAATACCCCAAAGGTAAGCTGAGTGAGAAAACGGCAATTTAGATGCATTTTACATAGAAACTACAGGCTTATTCTACATCCAGTTTTCTCTTCTGATACAAAATGACAACTCCAGTCCATTAACAATTTGACAGGGTTCTAAATTCAACATAGCAATTTACCTGCTTATTTGATCCAGTATAGCAACCTTCTGTTTCTAGGAGTGATTTGCTTAAAGCATACAATGAAATTATAGCCAATGCAAAGAGTTAAACTCAACTGCGACCGCATGTGGAAAACATATTTTTTACTGGGCTCTTCATACAATAGCTGATGCTTACCTGACATCCACGTTTATTTATTTCCAGTTATTGAAGAATTATCAGAAGTGGAGAATTGAATGCCCAGAAATAAGTGCAGATTTAAAACCATCTTCTATTCTTGGTCTTTTGCAAGCTGGCTATCATGGAGTCCTTAGATCAAGGGACCCACATGGAAGCAAAGTTCTAATATACAGAATAGGTGAGTGACAAAATTAGCTGGAACTGTGGTTTTTCTTTTTTTGCTTGCTTGAGGTGGGGAGGTGTTGTGTTTTTTTGGTGTTTTTTTTTTTTTTTTTTTTTTTTTTGGAGTTGTGGTTTTTTTGTTTTGTTTTAGGTTTTTCATATTATTACAATTTCTGCAGCAACTCAAAAATATTTTATAGTTAAAATGGCAGCTGTTGATAAAATTAGATAATATCAGAATGTCTTGACAGCTAACATATTGATGCTCTCTGTTAGAAATGCCATTACATTAATATAGTTACTGAGTTACTGAGCTATAAGGGTTACATCATTTTGCTTATATTACTGGTACGGTTAAAGTTGTACAATTCTCAAGGGAGAACCTAATTTCATGTGGAATTCTTGTCAGTATCCAAAGAAGTCTTAAAGCTTAAAACTTGTAAGATTATGTGATTCTTTGGATCTGAGTGTCTCAACAATTATTTGTGGTAATGTAAATTTTCAAAGCCACGGGCTAAGACTGTGGTTACTGGTGCAGATGCAGCACAGAGGGGATAGAACAGAAAAAAAGGTATATACCTAGTCAAGTATCAATGTTCTGTTTAGATGTGGATGAGCAGTTGGATGAGTTTTCAGTGTTTACTTGTAGCCAAAGAGCCTTATCTAAAAATTTAGAAAATGTTTGATGCACTCTCCAAAGTCTTTTTAAAACAGATATTGTTGTGAATATGATATAGTTATATGAATCAATTGGATATAATATAGTTACATGAATCAGTTGGGTTTGATGACCTGTATTCTCAGCTAGCATGACTGAGCTGTTCCTGTCAAAACCTTGTGTTGGAGTCTATAGGGGGAACATATTACATTAGGTGATATCTATAGCCATCTACCATTAGGTGATACCATCTACTGAAAAAGCATAAAAGATGAGTGACAGAGCAGGCACACAAAGTAACTTATGTACTGGCAAATCAGTTTATTTCAGGGCTTTTAATATTGCTGGTTAGTTCTTGTTCCCAAGAAGCACATTAGAAGCAGTAGCAAGCAAAACTACAGGTATATGGGGTATTCTCATGGTAATGCAGGGTAATCTATTTACTCTTCAGGACAATGGGATCCCAATGAATTTACCGTATATGATGTGTTTCGTGTAAGTCTCATCACGTCTGAACTCGTTGTAAAGGAGATTGAGACTCAGCGGAATGGAGTCAAGGCTATCTTTGATCTTCAAGGCTGGCGATTTGCTCATGCATTTCAAATCAGTCCAGCAGTGGCCAAGAAAATCGCTGCTGTTCTCACAGTAAGTATGACATACTGCTTTATGCAGCTTCATTGCTATAACTTCCAATTTTTCATTTGTTCTAAGCTATAGCAAATTCTCATTCTGTAGGCTTTCTCCATCTGTGCAGCTTTAAGGAACAAAATCCATTAATAGCCATAGGTTGCGCTTGATTTTACTTAAAGTATGTTCTTCGATAGCAGTAAATGCCCTGTAACTTCTGATATCTTATAAGAACTCCACTGACCTGTTACAACACAAGAATTTTGTGACTGTAAGAACAGACGGTTTTAGAAGGGATGTGCATCTCTTCCATGTCTTTGTGCATTAACTCAACATCCAAAGCTTTTATTCCTGAGACTCAAAGAATATAATAAATAGCATGCACTGAGTAGTTAAGAGCAAGGCACTACTAACTTGTTACCAGTATCAATGATGCTATACAATCTTCCATTTGCTACCAACAGAATGCATAGTGTTTATGTTCTGCTTGCTTTTTGCCCCCAGCATGAGAATTGTTTTGTGCAAATCACTGCTACCTCATTTCCTATTTTTTATAAAACTTCTAGGGACTTTAATTTCTTTAAGGCTTACATCTTTCTGCCAAATTCAGCTGAATTTTGTCTCTAGATTTGAGAGGAAAAAAAAGAATGAAAGAAAAAAGAGAGGGGCAGAGAATTGACAGGCAAGCTACAGTGTAGTTCTATAATCCCATTTTCCTTCAGAAGTTAGGTTGAAAGTCAGAAATAATAAAACTGTTAGCCTGTGATGTGGAAATGAACCAGGGAGATAATCTCTTGCTCTGATTTGGTAAGGTTCATATCTGAGGTTAAATCAAAGCTTAGTCATTGAACTAATATCATCAGAACTTCAGCTGTTCTTCCTTTTTGGTACCTGCTGTAAAACTTTAGTGAAACGGTTACGTATTCAAAACTTTTCACATCTAGAATAAGAACTCTTTGTGTTATACAGTCTTGGGCCAGATCTCATGAAAACAGGACTAGTGAGAGTGTTTCAGTTGATTTCTGGGGTAGTAAACCAGTTACTAGTATTTTCTTTGACCTTGAAATAGAGCAGAAAGGAAGTAGAATAGGATTTTCAAGTACATCTGTATGTTTCAACCCATTATCTCAAAGCAGGAAATTCTTTGAATGTGATGTTTCCATCCTGACCTGTTTCAGTCCAGTTGGATGTTTTTCAAACTTCTTAATGTTTATTTAGCTATTGAAAAAAATAATCAAAACTTGTGTGTTTTTAGTGTTCTTTTCTAAGATGAGAAAGAATTTTAACTCTTTTTTTTTTTCCCCTGATTCATCACTTTAACTGGATTCATATATTTCACTGAGAGATTGTTTTAGAGTTATTCAATATCATAGATTCATAGAATCATAGAATATGCGGAGTTGGAAGGGACCCATCAGCATCATCAAGTCCAACTACTGGCCCTACAAGACACCACAAGAATCATACTATGGGCCTGAGAGCATTATCCAAACATTTCTTGAACTCAGACAGGCTTGGTGCTTAGACTACTTCCCTGGGGAGCCTGTTCCAGTGCCCAGCCACCCTCTGGGTGAAAAACTGTTTCCAATATCTAACCTAAACCTCCCCTGACACAGCTTCATGCCATTTTTATGAGTACTGTCACTGGTCACCAGAGAGAAGAGATCTGTGTCTGCTCTTCTTCCCCTCACAAGGAAGTTGTAGACTGCAATGAGGTCTCCCCTCAGTCTCCTCCAGACTGAACAGACCAAGTGACCTCAGCCCAGCTGCTTCTCATATGTCTTCTCCTCAAGGCCATTCAACATCTTTGTTGTCCTCCTTTGGATGCTCTCTAATAGCTTAATGTCTTTTTTATATTGTGGTGCCCAAAACTGCACACAGGACTCAAGGTGAGGCAGCAGCAGTGCAGATTAGAGGAGAACAATCACCTCCTTTGACTAGCTGGTAATGCTGTGCTTAATGCACTCCAGGAAATGCTTAATGCACCTCAGAATATTCTTATAAGTAAATAAGAAACCTTGGTTTTTAAGCCTATGTTTACTCAGGAAATTTGTCTTGCAAATTACTATCCTGTATGAAGAAACAGAAGTTAGAAAGGAAACATGTATTAAGGAATGGAAAATATAGTAAAAAGAATAAGTGATATTACCTAGAAAAATTTGTTATACCAGGTAAAACAAAATTGTTTCATGAAAAACACGATAGTAGACTTTAGGTATATGATAACACATAATAACATGAAGTAAACCTATAATTGGATAGTTTTTAGGTCTTTATCATACATTAAAATCTAAAAGAAGTGGCGCTTAAGAAACATGTTGGGTTTGAATTTTTTCATCCTTCAAACTACAGTACTAGTTCTAGAGGAGAAATGTTTGTGAGAAGTATGATTTTTGTAAGCAGAAAATGTCTGGTTGCAGAGGTAGTATCAGCTGAGATATGAATGGAAGCTGTATTTTCCCCATTGCACCATGCTGGTTTTGAGCACTGGCATATTTTCTTTTAAATTTCAAATGTCTGAGACTTTTAAATGAATCTTGTATGCAAGTAGAACTATTTCATATTATAAAGAGTTTATAGTAGATTATTTTTTAAAGTTTTCATTACAACAGTAATTTTGTTGTAATGCTGAACTTCTGGCTTGGCCAAATTCCCAGTAATTTCAAGGCTTGTGTCTAAATTATAAATATCATCAGCTGGGTTGGAAAGGACCTCTGAGATCATCAGGTCCAACCCTTGATCCAACACTGCCGTGGTTACTAGACCACAGCACTAAGTGCCACATCCAGTCTCATCTCGAAAACCTCCAGGGATGCAGAATCCACCACCTCCCTGGGCAGCCCATTTCAATGCCTGATTGCCCTCTCTGTAAAGAATTTCTTCCTAATATCTAATCTAAATCTCCCCTGGCAGAGCTTAAGACTGTGCCCTCTTGTCTTACTGATAGCTACCTGGGAAAAGAGACCAACCCCTACCTGGCTACAACCTATTCTCAGGGAGTTGTAGAGAGTGATGAGGTCACCCCTGAGCCTCCTCTTCTCCAGACTAAACAACCCCAGCTCCCTCAGCCTCCCTCATAGGGCTTGTATAATTTATTTAACCTAAAGTTAGTATCTTCAATAGTTTGTATTTATATATACTTACATATTATCCTTCAGGCTGTGACTTGCCAATAAAAGCACATGCCTGGATACCTTTTTTGTAAATTAGCATCAGAATCCCTGTTGTGAAGAACTGTACTTTAGAGAAAAGGCTGAGCACAAGGCTTGTGTACAATATTTATTTGAAGTTTGGTGGCAGTTTTCTTTTTTGTTTGTTTGTTTGTTTTAATAATCAATCTCTCCTCATACTGATTTTTTTCTTTCTAATGAGAGGAACAAGATATGATTTTTTTAAATGTTGTTGCAGCAGTGTAAATTAAGAATACTCCAAAATGCAGAAATTATAAGATCAGGAGGAATAGTTTAACGTATAGACTAGGCAGTTTTCACAGGCTTGTCCTTGGCAACAGAATCTTTTCAGTAATTTTTTCTTATGCTGTTTTTTTATGTATGTTAACAGGATTCCTTTCCACTAAAAGTTCGAGGTATCCACTTGATTAATGAGCCTTTATTCTTCTACCCAGTCTTCGCTCTAATTAAGCCTTTTCTCACTGAAAAAATAAAGGAACGGGTGAGTGCACACAAATATTTCTTTCTGCCACAAAACCCTTATATGACAACCTGTAGCACTTCCCTTAGAATCTGCTACTCTTGAGCTTTGAAGAGCATAAATCATAGTTGTTTGTTAGTGCCATACTGACCTCTGGAATCTAACTGTAAAGCATTTGCAGTTATCAATAACATGAGAGTTGCAAGTGGTGCTGTTACCACCACTCTAAAGATAAAAGCCACTGTGACACAGAGAGGTTTAATAATTTGTTTGAGGTTACAAAGCAATTATTCTGCAGAACTAGAAAGAAATAGGTCTTGGATATCCCAGTGCTCTCCCTGTAAATAAGAGAGACAAAATATCACTGAACAGTGATGTTATGCTCCAAGCCATGCAGAATTAGTAGAAGACAACTGTTTAGCTCTGAAAGACCCCCAGAGGCATTTATGCATCAAAAATAGGTCAGACTTAAGTTTGAAGATTTTTTCCAAATAACTTCTTAGTTGTTTTAAATAGTTATGCAGTTATAAATCTGCAAATCTTCCAAATACAAACCTATTTGTATTTGGATGCAAAAGCATGGCAAGGATTCTGGTTTACTGTAGCATTGGAAGAATATTGGGCTTTTCAGCTGGCATAAAAGTGTTGACAGCAGGACTAAGGTACAAAATAAGCACCCCTGTCTATTGTTATTCCCATTCTTGAAGCCTCCTTTTCTCAGCACATGGACCTTGTACATTTGCAACAGCCACTGCATTCCAGGACAGTAGATACAGAACTTTCTGGTCACTGTTAGCTGTAATTTGCCAGTCCCCTTTTCCTAGAGTCTGTGTTGCTATGAGAAAGAGGCAGCCTTGTGCAGTCCCTCACTCTCAAAAGATGATAGAAAGAGGGAGTATGTTCCAGCAGCCTGAAGCCCTGGCCCTCCTTTTCTCACATTAACACCTGTGAAAAAAGCCCATGTCTCCTGATCCAGTTTTGGGCTAGAACTTTAAAAGTGGAAAAGAGGACAGATGGACAGAAAAGGCCTAAACCAAAACAAACCTGGTGTCCTAGTTCATTGAATGGAACAGAAGCAGATTGTCCTGTCTCTTAGCTTAGAATTACAGGTCTGATCTAAAAAAAAACCAACCCAAAACAACCCAACTCTAAGGGCCAGTTCCTCATATCTTTACAGAAATAATTACTATTCACTCACTTATCTTACTTCCTGATGATGAAGTGTTGGAGAAAAGACAGCTTTTGAGTGTAAATCCTTATTGTCTTTGTGTAATAATAATTGCAGAAATTCCTTGTCAAGTGTTAATAAAAGGCCTATAATGAGAAGAAACAAAACTACAATATTACGAGGATTAAAGTGGTTAAGTGGTCCAGGAACTAATTTCAGTTGGTACTGAAACATAAGGACTAAGATATAGATCCTTTTGAATATCTTTCTTGACATGTGCCTGAATCTACATACTCCATAATGTTGTTTTTAAACATATTGTTTTTAAACTATCTGGCAGGACCAGATAGTATTGGCTAGGAGCCAGACACTGTCCTTTTCTTGGAAATGACTGAAAGGCAAGCACGTGATATGTGACTAAACCAATCTCCAGTCTTCCCACTGTTTAGCCATTGGGATGTTGTGTGTACCTTTGTCTAAGTGTTGCCAAACCAGTCTGGAAAAAATGTGTAGTTAGTTTTGGCTCCTGTACTCACAGCTACATAAAATACAGTTCTCAGGTTGTAGTCCATCCTTCAATCTTCCTCCTATCCTCCTATCTTCCAGTCTTCATATACTGAGCGGACAGTTTGAGCACGCATGGGAAAATCACAAGGTGCTTCCTTAATTTTTTAAGGAGCTAATTATGAACAAGTACACTTGTTAAGTCAAACCAAGCTGGTGGCTTCAGCTCTTGAACAGAATTTGTTTGCTGCCTGTTTTCACTCAGTAGTCTAGCATTCATATCCAAGTAAATGCTTTTCATATTTTGTTTTAGGTGTTTATGCATGGAAATAACTACATTCAGAGCCTGACCGAGCACTTCCCCACCAGCATTCTCCCACTGGAATATGGGGGGGAGGAAGTCTCCTTTGAAGAGCTGGCTAAAGAATGGACTGACTTTATAATGGCATCTGCAGATTATCTTCAGAGCATTTCTCTGGTTGCACAGAAATAACCTTATTACAGTATTATATCAATTCTTTAACAGTGAGAGTGGAAGTAAGTTTAGTATGAAAATATTCATTTTGAAATTCAAATTATTGTGAATGAAACCAGTATGTCTTTGCAGGGCACTGAATATTATATTGGCTGCACTTTATACTAACTGGAGTCTATCAGTCTGTGTGTCTGAAGAGATTAATGAATTCTACACATTTGTAGTACTGTTTGTAATTGATTAACTTGTATGCCAGGAAGTTGAAGAATGCATTGGATATCAGATTGATACTGCTCCTGTTAAGTCTTTGGAGACAACTCATTTGTAATAATGCAGTCCAGAACCTTACACTTAGCTCTTGTATCTTGGCTTGTCAAGACAACAGGATATAAAATGAAGAACAGAATGTGACTTGGGTAGAGTAGTTTGTTGCAGAAAGGACTGCAGGGCTAATTTACAAGGAGCAAAGAGGCTGCTTTTTGGATTGATTCTCAGGGAAAAAGACTATTTTGTTAGTTTGTGTCAAATTGAAAATTAGTCAGCAATAGTAAGACATTTGTGTTAATCTTTGTGCTGCTTGTGCAGCTTCCTCGTTTTGTGATAATTAACACAGGGATGTGTTAACATAAATCTTCCAGTTTTCTAAAGGAAGCTGGGAAAAACACCATATACCTGTTCTTCAAATGACAGTATGAATCAGGAGGAGGAACTGGTAAGAGAGCCCAACCAAAGTTGAAAATTCTTATTTTTTTCTTCAAAGTGATGTTGTGTATGGACAACAATAAGCAACTCAGATTATCACCTTTAATTCTTACTGTAGAGTACTACAGAGGTCAAGAGCTTTCAACTTGTTTGCATTATCTATTTGTTTCAGAGGGTGAAGTAGGTTATTCTTTGTGAATCTGAACTTTAGAAATACCTTTTATGTAGTTTAAGGGTGCTTTGACATCACTTTGAACCTCAGCATAGGAGATGCTGGGTGTCTTAATTTTATTTTCAGAACAGTAGTTGACAGCTTGCCATTCTATTTGCTGTTGGGCACTGAAAGAAATTATTTTTAATTTCTGTTAAGCCTTCTTTATTTCTGTAGGGGTAATGAAAAAAATCTCTCCGTACTTACTAGAAACCAGTTTCTGTTTTGTTTTAGTTTTCTAAGGGACATTATTGAGATATGAACAATACATATATAAAAGCTATCACTCTACATAACAGTATCCTCCTGCAATCCCCAGTACCTAATAATCTAAAGTTTTATTTTACTTTTCACTCAGCTTTTTCTTAAAAGCTCTCTTAGTACAACTACTGCTAGAGTTCATTTACCCAGTTTTTAACTCTCTTTTGTAATAAGCCAAGAGATCTTTGCAAAAGCACTATGTATTTAAGCATTCCATATGAGGCTTCGTATAAATGAATCTGTAACAAATGCTTTGTTTCTCAGGTAGCTATAAATGATAACTTCGGTTATTTTGGAATCTTTAGGACATTGGGATTCTATATTCATATATGCTTAGGGGAGAGAAATCATGCTATCCTATTAAATCTGAAATGTCTTATTTTCCATTATAACTAATACTGCATTACTGTGAAAGTCATTGGAAGCTATTTAATATCTAGAGGAATATCTATGAAAGACACATTAGAGTACTCGTGGATTGTAGTTTCTTCTGCTGTGATAAGGTCAATGCCAGAAATTCTTTAAAAACGGACAAAAGCTTCTTAGGGTTTTTTTTCCTTCCAATTCCCTGATTTTCTCAAGTGTGTTTTTCATTCTTCTCTTTCACAGTATATTTGATATGGATCCTAAATTTAAATAAACCTTTTCCAGGTACTTTTTCATAGGATAATATATTTCATATATCTTTCTTTTTTTCTCAGATTGAACTATTTTGTGATAAAAAAAATCTCCTTAAATAGAGGAGTTTGGTGAACTGCTAATTCTTCTTTATAAGAAAATAAACTAAGTAGTCAGGCATCTGGCAATTGTTCAAGTGTGTATCTGAAGTTCCAAATAATTTACCAACTGGAGAACTGAAGCTATTGTCCTAATTTTACAGTCCTTCAATTTTAATCCTTGAATGTAAACTGCACAAAGCAATGAGCTATGTTTCAGTGAACAGGAAAATTTAAACTTTTCCCATGAAACCAATCTCTGATTGTTGCTGGTTTATGTAGCAGAGACCTCATTTGATTGCATAGGAATATGCCCATGCATATGTAGCTGTTTTTTAGTTTTTATAATCTTTATTTGGACTAC